TTCACCTGGGGTTGAACTGGTATCTTGTGATCTGACCTGTGGAGTATTAACCACTACACTATAGACCCACAGGTCAAAAGTATTTAGTTTTTTTTTATAAAAAAAAATTATTTATAATAATTAATTAATAGAACCTTGACATTTAATCTCAGTTAGATAAATTAATAATATAAAAAAATTCAATATAATTAATATATGTATACTAAATAATATGATTAATAAAACTCTTTCTACTGATTTTTTTGTCAATTCAAAAAACAGATATTCTCAAAAGATTTTATTTATATCTTTATAATAGCAAAGTAAGCATCAGCTACTACTTGTTTTATTTTTTTCTTTTCAAATATTTATTTTTGTGATTAAATAACAAAAAATCTATTTAAAAGACTTATGACAAGAATATTTTTTTAGAAAAAAAACTGATAAGAAAATATATTCTCCAAAGGTTCTCAAAAGATTCAAAATTCAGAGAAACAAAAACAAAGAAGTTTCCAGTCTCTCTATTATCTCTTTGACTTCCTACTTCTTCTTTTTCAAGCATGCTTTCTTATTTTTGATTTTTCTGAGAAATTTTGCCTCCTTAATTTGACCTTGAATTTTTGATTATATCAGATCTTCTAAAAGATAATTAATCAAGGCCACAGATTAGTTGATCATATTAGTTATAGAAAAAGTAAACAAAACATATATTCCTTATATGTTTCCAGTTACACAATATTAAATAGATGATGTGATTGGTTTCTGAAAGAATTGGACAGTTTTTAGTTAAAAGAGTAGCATATGAGTATTAGGTGAAACAGAAGTTGTAAGTAGAAAAGAAATAATACATTTTTTTTGTTTTCCTTTCCTTTTTTGAGAACAGAAAGTAGCAACAAGATTTAGATCCTATCTCAATTTAATAACAAGTTGAAGTATCAATATTTATTCCAAAAATGATTAGAGAAAGGAGTCTTGAAACTATTCATCAATTGAATGAAGCAATAATTCCAAAAAGATATGGCTTGGGAGAAAAATTAACAATAAAAAACCAATATCTCTTCTGGTTAAAAGTCTTTAAATATAAAGTTTCAAGAAATATTCTTCTGAAAGTACTTTTAAATGTTTTTGAATATCGATTGCTTCAATAAAAATTAAACAATCTAGTTGATTACAGGTGATAAGAAGTAAGAAATTATAAGGGACTTGGATTTTAAGTTCATTGAGATAATTTTTTCAATAATAGTTAAAATAGATGATAGCTTTTTCAATTTTTTTTCAATCACTTCTTATATGCACAATTGTGTTGTTTTTTTCCTCCTATTTCTTTTTTTATTTCCTTTTCCCCTTATATAGTTTCTACAAGAGAGGGGTGACACAATTTGGATTTATGGTCATGGCTGTAGAGATTATTTGCAGGTTTTGATCCTATTGAAGTATCAGAATCTTAATCCTTTCCAACAGAAAAACAATATTTCACTCCCATAAATCACATCTAGAGGCTTCAGCTGTTGATGAGTAAGCTAGGTCAAGGAAATTTATACTTTGCAGATATTTTCATACTTGTAATGGTTCCCTATTTGATTAAATAAATAAATAACTTTAGCCTGATTGCAGAATTAAAAAAAAAAACCAAATAACATGATTAATAAATAAATAATATAATAATATAGTAAAAATACAAATATTAACTAATAAAGTACACTAGACAAAACCATGCTAGTTATGCAAACTTGAATATTAAAGATTTTTATCAAACAAAATTTATAAGCTTATTATTTTTAAAATTTGAATTAATTTATCATATTTGATGAATAATTATAATTAGATTTATATTTAAACTTATAATTATAAATTTTATTTTGGATGAACAGAAATTGCGATGTAAACACAAGTTGGTCGAAACTGAAGTTTTATTAAAAAAGAATTATTTATATTGCACGAGATCTACATCAATGAAAAAAAATCGGAAACAGGAATTGCTTGCATTCTTGAAAAAACTACATAAAATATACCCAAGTCGATCAATTGCGTTTTGAATGAAAAATTTTCAATGGTTTATATAAATACCCGGTTTTGAATCTGTGTTATATACATATATTTGAAAAATAACATGAAATGTATTGTTCTCTCATGTCCTTACATCGAAAAACCGGGTCACAAATCACAGAAAACGAACGGTGAAAGAAAGGTAAATGAAAAAAATGTGATCTTGGAGAGTGCCACATGTAGTTTAAAATTTCCAACCTTTTAAACAACATAATAAACTACAGGCACACAATAAAATTTCGATTAGTGTCGTTAAAAATTGGCCTCTATCACTCAGATTAAAGAAATAAGATTACGCTTTCTCAGTTTCCCAGCATATAAGCGCCAACTCCGATACTAACAACACCAGCAGCCATGCCAACCACTGTAGATGCAATGAGCTCCCATCTTCTGCGTTTGTTAGCCCGCTTCTCTAAATCTGCTATCTTTTCCTTAAGTTCGTGCACTTGTTGCAGACCTTCCTCTTCGGTTTCTTCATACTTGCGTTTACGGGAGACGGTGGAAACAATATTTGTTGTTTCAGTCACATGAGAGGGGCCTTCCCCATTGTTCACCGCATTTTCATTGTTAATCTTATCCTCACTTATATCTTTATCCTTACGTGAGGTTTTGGGATGTTTTGTTTCTCGATACATCTGCGTCGACGTTTTTTCTTTATAAGTGACTGCTGTGTTCCTTGGTATGGTCACAGGATTTAAAGTGGTTTCTTCAAAGGGGATGGGGTCTGAAGTGCTTGCGGAGGTAATAGATTTATGATCTTCGGTAACCTTGCGGAAATCGTCCGTGGGAATAACCTCATCTTTTACAATAGGTGCATCAAACTTGGAAACATTTCTGTCAGAAGTCACCACTCGCCTCTCCTGCTTCACTGCAGTTATCTGAGCTTTTTGTTTTACCGACGTGGTGGAGTTACCGGGTATGGTAGACACAACTGATGCTGTGGTTTCAACTGGTAATTGAGATGAATATCATTAGAAAAAATATACAAGCCATGCAGATGTTGAAAGGTAGAATTACCTTCGCTTGTTTGTCTAGTTTCACGTATATTTGATAAATTTTTTTGACCTGAGACGACGGAACTCGTGGACCAAGTTTCGTCTATCTTAGTAGGTTTGTGTTCCTTCTGGATTTCAACGGGCTTTTCAACTTTACTAAAGTAGCAATTATTAAAAAAATGCACAACATTTTTTAATATGATATAAATAAAAATATTCAAGTCAACATATTTTACCTTGACACAGGCGCAGCAGAAGAAAAACCTTCTTTGGAGACATCTGTTGAAGGATCGTTCGCTATACACTCAGAAACCTGTCCCTCTTTTTTTTCCAACTTGTTGGTCACGATTTTTGTCAAATCATTCGAAAACTCACTACTTTGTGCACCATTGGGAGAAATTGGTATCGGAGGAAGTTCTTTCTTTTCTTTGGGGTAATATACATAAGCGGACAAATGCTTGTATAGATCTAAATAATAGAAAAAATGTAGTTACATGTTCGTGACCGTAAACCTGTGAAGTTTAATGATAGATGGATTCTCACTTTGATTGCGTTTGACACTGTGTCCGAAAGTGATCACGTCCCCATGCTTTAATTCTTTCCATTCACTGTCTTTCGAGCCATCTCCTAGACGCACACTATTGACAAAAGTACCGTGTGTGCTTTTGGTGTCCTTGATCATAATCTTGGAACCGTAAAAAAGTTAGTTACAACGTATATTGTTAGAATAAAATAGCAAAAAGAAAACAGACTACCTTTCCGTTTGACTCTTTTAACATTGCGTGTTCTCTCGACATTACATCGCAGTTAAACACGCCATTTTCCGCCTTCGCCTCTTTTTGATTCCGACTTCCACTGACTCTACCTACTTTAATTTCTTGGTCGGGCGCAAACGTCAAATGTTTTGGACTGAACACAATAGAATCGGTGAGAGGAAATAGATTAACGGCAACAGTTCTAGAAGCGGTAGCCGGTGATTCAGAGCCGGAACGAGATCGCGATCTGGGTGATGGAAGGGTGGCGTCTGATTTTGTTGGTGTCCAATCCATCGGTTCAGTGTTTTGTACTGATGATTCTCGCTTTTCATTGTACTGAACATTATTAACTCGTGTACCTCTTTCAGCCGCATTTTCGCTATTATCTTCCTGAGTAATTTCAATCAGCATAATTCGATTTTTACGGTAAAAAATTATCGACAGTATTATGGAAAACCGTTATCCCACGGTAATTTTTTTAACGTGAATATCGAAAAACTATATCAACTCAATGGCCTATGTAAAAGAGGTACAAATTTTTTCATAAAATTTACCGTAGAATGTCTCAGGTTTGCAAAGTCCGTTTCAGTTCTCGGATTAGATACCGACTCGAGCATGAGGTTTTCAATGCCCGGTCCGTAAATGAGCTGTTTTCTCTCTTCGACGTGATCTTCAGTCATAATATGTTCTTTTATTGGTTTTATGCCTGAGACGACAGACATTGATTTTATGTTCAAGGTGATATAATAGAATTTATGGTAGCGCCTGACATTTTACAAACGAGAGATAAACTCAATTAGATTTTCAATGATTACAAATTGTTCGCTACGTGTTAAGTGTTCACAATTTTGTTGTGCACCTACAGGATATGTCGTCTGCCGACTTAAGACCTCTCTTAAAAAAAGACCAAAAATGACGTTTTTTCGTCGTTAAAGATTTCTTCTCGAAAGCAAGGCAAAGCACCCTAATACTCAATTCAAAAGGTGCACTTTATCATAAATAAACTGCGCCGTTGTGATTGAACAATTTGGAATGAGGCTAGAAAAATCAGAAATGATGTTCGGTGGCTTATCTCGGAGTTTTATACCGATTCTCCGAAATGTAGATCCCTTAAATTCCCAAATCCCTCCCGAAATTTTGTATCCAGTAAATACAGTTTCTGAAAGTTTCTGACGGTAATTATTTGACTTGTTGTTTCAATGCTTCATACCACTACATCTTGCTTGCAACTTTACAAATTACATGTTCTTAAAATATAATGTACTTAATACTTTTTTTTAAAAAAAAAATTCTTTAAATTCGATTTATCGTACATATGTTTCCGTATATATATTACAAGCACACCAAGAAAGAATGTTCGAGCCTTTACAACTTGGATTCTTTGCGCACTGTGCACATCGGGATGAAATTACACAAAAATAATATATAAGGTATTATTGAGACAACATACGATCTAATCGTGCAACATTACCATATTTAGCTATATTAAATCTGACACATTAAATGGAACATTTTTGATTGTTATAAGTATAGAAGATAGCATTGCTCATAAGTTTTTTTATGACTGGTTAATTTTAAGAAAGCAAGAAAATTGCTCATTTATAAGCATCGAATAAAAACATCGTTATAAAATTTATATCAATATAACAGAAAATTGAGGAATGTGACAACATTCATTTCTTTTTAAGGGTTCGTTGTTTTTCTGCATGCTCAACTATCTTCTTGTCGATGGACATGCCCTAAGAATAATTCAATGTTAATTGCTGGGTTAACGCTGAACTACTTCGTTAAAAACCTACCTTCCGTTTCCTCACGCTTTCTATGTACTTCTTGGCAAGGTTTTCCCTATCAGCTTTTTCTCCCATATCTTCAAGCTCTTCTTCAGTTGTTGGAACCCAAAACGGGTCTTCATCCAACATCTCGAATCTATGAAAAAATGATAATAAATTGCAATTCATACAAAATTTATATTATTAAATTTATTTGAGGTATGAAAGCATTGCTAAGATATTTGAAATAAATAAATAAATATATATATATATTAGTACCCGCTAAAGATTAATTGGGGACTAGCTGCACCAGAAGTACGTTTTCTGATCTCTGTTATAAGATTCATAATTAATAATAATTGAGGTCAGATAGGAAATGGAATATAGAGAAAATTGCTTCGAACCAACAGCGAACCCAAAGCTCTCTACTACAGGTAGGTGTGCACAGATTAGGAAAAATGGAGTTCCCTCTTTTAATTCTTCAGAAATAATGTGACCGCGACGTCTAGATATGACCCCGTAAACACGACCTAGAGCTTCGGCTAAAAAAAAAATAATAATTTAGATGAGTCAGGTGAAGCAGAAATTAATTCCTTCTTAAACATTGAATTGCTTGATGCTCAACTAGTCACTTGAATATCACAAGAGTACATGGCAAGCATTATTCTTGGAGACCATTCTAAGAAGCTTTGATAACAAGCATCTCTGACCGTTGTAATAATTTGACCACTTAGTCTCGAGCGTACTGAAATTCCCAAAGGTTTTTTAGTATCTGAAGTTTTAGTGTTCATTTCCATATAGAAATATGATTTCTGAATTTATATACTTTCAGAGATGTCAACATTTTCAGCATTTATGGATATTTGAAAATCTTCTAAGAAATATGCCACACCCATCATTGGTTCAGCACAGAGAGGACCTGCTTTCGTGGCAAGCTGAAACCCAGTGTGAATGGCCTCTTCAAAATCGCGAATTGTTAATTCCAACGATGATTGCTCATCCACCTCTCCTGAAGTCCCATCGTGCGAAGACGTTTCATGAATCTTTTGGGCATTAGCGTTCTTTCTCCACCTGTTAAGATATTTGATTAAGTAATAATAGTGAAGTTATTGAATCCTTTTTGAAATAAATAAATAAATAGATAATAAATAGGTTATAGCCATAATTATAATAATAAACATAACTATAAATTTTACACAACAAAGGATACGGTTTTCGTGAATAATTAGGCACTCGGTTTATCAATATGTTTGGGCCAACGCGTTTTGGCCCGAATGCCCAAATACTAGCAATAAAACAAAGACCATATAGCTTTTGCATAATAAAATAGGTATATGACACTATCATCATTGAAAAATGTTTCACAAAGTCTTACTTATCAGTGGCTTTACCAAACTCAGACTCAAGTTCATTAAAAAATTCGTCAACATCCAATACCCGTTCTTTTTTATTGACCACTTCTTTAAGGACATCCTCATATTCTTTTGTCATTTGTGTATCAATTTTATTTCTTTGTTGACGTTCATCAATTATAGATTTTATAGTCATAGCATGTTGATCGATGAAAGCAGTAACATTAGATGATAATGGCATTGCACGCATTTTGATGGTGCAATATTTATTTGGTGTAGAAAGCGTAACAGCACCACGTTGTGTATTTGCATCTTTATTTTGTTGAGAATCTGAAGTTATGAAGATTTTTAATTTGATAATTTGAAAAATTTGAAAGCAAGAAAGACAAATAATATAATTTACCCGACATCGGAACTATTGTTTCCCTAAAAGGCACAATCGGCGGTGATACTTGGATTTCGATTTTAGCAAACCGTTCTCTTAAATCCAACAAACACCTCTTTATAATTTAAGCGAATTTAGTTACCAAATTTTTCTGATTTTGCAGAGGAAATCAAACCACTCTTACTTCGAGATGCACCTCGCCCGCAGTTAAAATGACGTGTTCGCCCGTTTCTTGCACAAGGACTTCTACACAAGGATCGGCTTGATTAAGCAGGCGTAAACCCTCAATAAGTTTACTGATTTCAGCTATAAAGTAGAATTCAAATTATTATTGTTGAAATAAAAGTGAATATTAGAAGTAATTTTAGTCAATTACATGGATCTTTCGGCTCAAGAGCGACTCGTACAATCGGAGAGGACTGAAAGGAGAACATGCGAATCGCAAAAAATTAGAAAAAAATCAGTAGGAATCCGATGAGGTCTCAATACTAACCTCGGATGTAACGCTTGCAAGACTTTTACATTCTTTCGTACTGCTAAGAGTACCATTCTTCAGTATATGGCCTTCTAGTCCACCAACTCCAAAGACATTACCTGCTGGCACTTCCTCAAGAGGTTCTAACTCCCTTCCCATCATCAGGTAGAGGTTTTCGATAGTAACCTCGGTGCAATGTTTATCCGGAAAGGCAGGATCATATTTGGGCCCTAGAACATAGAGTTTCTGTCCAACACGAATAGTACCGGAATAAAGACGCGCAAAACCAATAAAGGTTTCCTTAGAAGATGGTAGTGATTCAGCAGTATCATATTCTTCTGTTTCTACAAGAGAACTATTCAATGAATTTTCAGGCGTATCAGGAACGTCATTATATTCCGTATTGGTAGTAGATGGTTCTGTTGAAATTTTTTGTAGTGCTTCTCTTCTAAGCCTTCCTCGCTCCCTCAGCTCTTCCGCAGTCAACTGCGTTCGTCTATTTTCTGGCAACATATCCAAAGGTACCGCAAACATTTTTGAAACATACGCGACAACAGGTGCCAATTCACTGGAATCACAATTACACAATCCACGCTCAATTTCATTTATTTCTTTGGGGAGATTCGAACGAATATGCAGTATCCGTGGGATTCGTATTGGTTGCGCGGTGACTGGTGAAGGAAGCTGATCAATTACTGCGGGTGTGAAGAGTCAAGTATATTCATCGATTCAGAGGATTTAGTAGATTACAAACCAAAGTTAAATTACAAAGGATATGTAAAATAGCTGTTGATAAAGGTAGCCATTGATTAAAAATTGATGTCAGCAAAGTTCTCGTATCCTTGGACCTCATATCCCGCGCTAGTACTTTCAAATCGAGCGTTTTGACAATCTTTTCAATCTTTTCACGATTACTGGATGGTGATGATTGATTGTTAAGTCAAAAATATAAAGAAAAAGAAATTTCATGATCATGAATCCATAAACAACAAACATACTTGTTCACGATGATTGCATCATAGACTTTCCATATATTGTCCAAAACGAATTGAGCAAACATTGGCTTCAGAGAACGTCCTTTAAGATGCTTATGTTGCAGGAGTCGTTTCGTTTTTGGTTCAAGATAGTAATCGCCCCAGAGAAACTTGCGTAGCAAACTTTCTTTAATACCTAGCTTTGCTGAAATTATTTGAGCAAATTGTTCGACTCTATCACCCAGATCGGATACCACTGTAAACAATTGCCTTTATTTGAAGAACAGGTTGCTTATGTAATATAAAAAGAATTTTGGTCAAACATTCACCTAAATGCCCAACCATCGAGAGCACTCGCAAAAACAACATTGCCAGTTTCAGGCGTAAAATAAATATTAGAGTCATCCCGTTCTTCAAATTCCATCTCGCTAGAACTTGATTCGATATCTGAACATTCTTTTTCTTGACGTTCCTTCTGATTATCGTGTCTTCTTGTTTCTTCTTCTATTACATCACCAGCGAAAAAAGTTCCCATGACTGCATTCACTTGTTCAAGAATCTTGTTGAGATGAACTTGGGCTTCAACAGGTGTTAATTTGAGTTCAGTTATCAGCCGATCTATCTTATTAAGAACCAAAATTGGTCGAACATTCTCTACCCAAGCTTGGCGGAGCGCTGTGTATGTCTAAATTGAAAAAGTTTTCAGTATTTGTGATATGTGAATTATGACTATCGAATATTTCGTACCTGCGTGCATACACCCTCGACGACATCAACAAGAATCAAAGCGCCATCACATAGTCTGGATGCTGTCGATACCTCACTTGCAAAATCAACGTGACCAGGAGCATCAATTAGATTTATTAGATATTCATCAGCAATTTCTTAATTTTAACATAAAAAAAAAAAACAAAATTTAAATGTTGGCTTATATAGAATTCGAATTTCGCGTTCAATTAAACTAACCTTCATTTTCAGTCTTTCGTAAAATTTGAAAGTATAAGGAAATCCCACTTGCTTCCATTGTTATTCCTCTCTCCTGTTCATCCTTTCGACTGTCAAGGTACCTTACCTTTCCTGCAAGCTTAGACGAAATGATCCCATTGGAGGCCAACAGTGAATCAGAAAGTGTAGTTTTTCCGTGATCCACGTGTGCCAGAATGCAAATGTTACGTATAAATTCTGTTTGGGATTGTAATTTTACAAGTTGCGCAGTTGTGACTAACGGCATGGTTTTCGTATGATCGTTATAATTATTATTGATAAAAAAAAAATTTTTTTTGATATATGTATTTATTATCTGTGATCCAATTTATTATTTTTTTTTATAATACGTGTAATATTTGTTAAATTTAATCGTTACATATTAACTATATTACAATTCACGTGATAGCGAAATTTAAAAAGTCATAGAAACCAAAACCGAGACTCAAACACACACACACACACATCTAATTCAAATAAAATGGCTGACGAAGGTACGGGCATAGTTTGACAAGCTTTTGACCGTTCATGAAAATAGCTCACACCTTTTTGTTGTTTCTCTCCGACTTCGTTTAGAAATTATTATTCGTGACAGACTCACTGTCGAGGAGCGTACTCTCCGCCGTGTAACTCGGAAACATGCTACGTTCATTAGTTTCTTGGAGCAAGGAAACCTTAAAGAAGCGTGCGCATTATTACTATCTACTATACACATCTTGTTTATAAAATAACCTAAGATCTTTCTGAAAACATTTAGAAGACAAAATTATAATGAATTTCTGGTTGATTTTTCAACATACGAACTCTCCCTTATACGTTTCCAAATTATCCATGACATGAATCTACGAGAAGCACAACATTGGGAAAAGGAATCACAGAGAATTGGTATTAACATGTTTCAAATAGTATTAATCATTTCATAGATATTAGGGTAGTTTCAAATTGCATGAATGGACGTATTATTATTTGATCGTGGACGCAATGAGAAAATTTTATGATAATTATATAAATTTGAATAACATTTGCGCATTTTTTACTATTATTCACTAATTCATCCAGGAACAGAAATTGAAGAGACCAAAAAAATAATTGAAAAGTTGGAAAAAGAGCTAAAAGAGGCTGAAGAGATACGTAAAAATAAAGTAGAATACGATCTATTGGCGTCAGAAATAAACGAACATCAAACGCGTGATGAGTCCAGAGAGTAAGGTTTTTTAACATAGAAATTGAAAAATGCTTTGTTCTATATGCATGAATTCTCATTGGAAAATCCTTTTCAAGGGAAATAGCTACACTGGATGAGGAGATCGCAGCACTTGAGGAAAAAGAGAGGGTCATAAATGAAATTACAGAGCGTCGAAAATCACAGCTTGAACGAATTGTGTCAGTTTTGAAAGATGTCCATTCCGAAATTCAAGCAGATCAAGAACAGCACGGATATATTTTTGGTGACAGCGAGGCCCCTGTTATTACACCCGCATCAATTAGAAGTGAGTCTACATCACCTGTGGGTTCACCGATTCCGCCACCACCGGAAATTATCCCGCAGGTTAATGGAATGGACAAAAATGACCAAAACGAAAATGGCATTTTAAATGATTCGCCTACTGGTGCCGAAAGAGTGACGACTCCTCAAAGTAATAATGATTCACCGGATACAATAAACATGAACATTGATGAAAATTTACCACTAGATAGGGAGATTACTGGAGAGACATTTGATGGCGCCTTAGATAATTCACAGATTGTTGACGAAGACACTTCACGAGAGAATCGGAACGAGGAAGGTGCTATTATTGATGATAATGAGGATACTGAAAGTATTGGAGATGTGGGTGAGGTTGTCGAGGGAACTAATAAGGATTATATAGCCGATGAAGAAGTTCTTGGTATTGAAGATATAGATGATGATGTGGTAACAAGTGAGGAAAATGAGGATGAATACATTCGTCCTCTAAGTGCAGAAGAAAATGAGGAGATTCCTTTGGTAGACGAGGGAGAGATTGTAGAAGATGTAGATGAAGATACCGATGAAGATGGTGTTAACAGAAAGAGGAGACGCGATGCGGAAGAGGAAGACATGGAAGATGAATCCCTTGATCGAAAAAGAAAATGCGAAGTAGACGATGAAGACGATGAGGAAGGCGTAATATCAGACAAAAATCCGCGTTCATGTGATCAAGATGATGGTGAAATCCAATCCAGCGATGAAGGAGTAATAGAAAATGAAGACGATGATGACATAGAAACTATAGAGGATATGGATGCTGTGTGTATAATATGAATATTCATTTAAGTTACATTACATTTCTCAAATACTGATCAATTGTCCTTTTGTTTGATAGAGTTAATACGTAATATCGAAGCTGTTCCCTAAACTAGTTGCTATATAATAGTAATCAATTCAGCCGAATTTTAATAAATTTGATCGTGCATAGCATGACGCATATTTATTTGACTAAACATTTTTGATCGCGTCAAATTGTATATAATATTTCTAGATATTTTTTGGTACTAGCTCTAACAAATTAGTAAGATCTTCCCATTTAACACTTTTTCTGGAAGATTTTTGTCTTTCGGTGTCGGTTCGACTTTCGAAACTTTCTTCACCGACTTTCTTGGGAGTTCTCTTTAGAGGTGCAAAATTATTTTCACAATTCAATGCCTTTGTAAATATTTTGTATACATGTATCATAAATTCGAAATATCGTGGAAAATTGTCATCGAAAACTTTGTAATATAAATACACATACCGGATTCGAGACATAAGTAAAGCCATTCTCTTCTAACAACTTGCGAACTTGATCTTCCGGTGTTAGCATATAAGTATCTGGCGAACTTTTTTGATTTCTTGCCGACCGTCTTACAGGCGTCACAACTGAAGAGACACCCAACTCTGTTTGACGATCATTTGGATCAACACACGAGAATTACTAATTACAGTTCAATTCTTACATACCTTCGCGTTCCTTCTTTTTTGCCTTTACTGGAGTTAAGACAGTAAGAGAAGATTCCTCCGGACTTTCCACAACTTTCTCGTTGTCATTACCTTTATCATTACTTTCGACCATCGAATCTTCCAGAACAGTTTCCTGTTGATATACACTAGTATCAAAACTGGCACTTTCGTAGTCTAGATGGAGGGACACATTATTTTGAGGTAGGCATTCCGGTAGACTATCTATACTATTTGAAAGACTATCGTCTATGTTTTGTTTAATATTCACGCTAGTGGGAAGGGATTGTAAAGAAGTGAAAAATTTTTGAATTTTTAACTCTATATCTTGGTCTGTGTTATCATCTGCTTTGCCTTCTGCATTGTTAGTGTCATTTTTCTCTGTTGAAACCAAACCATCTTCCTTTGAGTTTTCTAAGCGTTGAGCCTTGAATTTAAATATAGGATGTATAGAACGTTTAGGTGTAGAAATACAGTTTGAGTTCTCTTCGTCCTCCTTACTTTCAGACAATTTGTTCACTGAATTCGAATAGATTAAAGAACGTTCCCTAGGATTCAACGGTGTTAAGGATAATTTATTTTTTGGGGCAGCCGCCGATCTCGTAGTTGTTTGGTCGTTATCCTTTTCAGAGAGATGTTTTCTTGGAACATCTATCATTCGTTGAGCTTTCCCAGTCAACTTTAACGTTGGACTTTGATATATCTTTGAACGTCTACGAGAGGTTAATTTCGTTGATGTAGGTGTGATTTCTAATTCACGAGTGGTATTTGACAAAGGTTCCGACTCAGGAGTAAAATCTTTTCCACTTGACATCTGCACTCTCACGCGTTGAGCTTTTCCAGATATTTTCACCGAAGGACTCGAATATATTTTTGAACGTCTACGAGCGACTACACTCATAGGTGAAGTCGCTGTTGGCGTCGGCGAACCATTTTTAGAATCTATTTTGTCTTTAGCATCATCCGAGATTTGATTGGTTAACAACACGCGTTGAGGTTTTCCCGACACTTTAATTACAGGACTCGAGTAGATCTTTGAATGACTACGCACAGGTGTACTATTCATAGAAATCGAAGTCGGCGTCGTTGATTCTTTGTCAATTGGATCCATTAAATCTATATCATTACCCACATAATAAAACATGTCACTTTCACCGTCATAAAAATTTATATTATCCAAAGTAATAAAGTGTCGTGGTTTCTCTGCCTGCACCGCAGAAACTGAAACTGGTGTTTGTATTGTCAATTCTTTGTCAGCAGAAACTATTTCGCTATATTTAGTTTTATCCAAAGACATCAAATGTTGCGATCTTTCAAGTTTTTGCGAAGAGTCTACAAGTGGAGTGTCTGGTCCTTTATCATTTAGAGTAACTTTCACCGGAACATTTGTGTTATCTGTATCAAATTCCGATCCTTTAACGTTGTTAGCTATCTCCTCCTTGGATGCCACAGGTGTAGGCGTAATTATATTTTTCGATTGTACTAACGATAAATTTTCGGGCTTTCGAACAGGCGTCTGACGCACATTTTGTTTTGCAAATTCTGAAGTAGGTGCATTTTTTGCAAGACCATTCTTTGTCGTCTTACTTGTCTGAAGCTTAAGTTCGACAGATTTCTTTGGCTTAACCTGCTTCTGACTTCTGCGCATACAAAGTAATAACAATAACAATATAATTAAAAGTTAGATAAAAAATAAACAGCCATGCAAAAGTGAATTTATTACTTAAGCTTTTCTAATTCTCTCTTCTTCCGATACTCTTCCAGCAAGCGACGTCTTTCGGCTTGTTCTTTTTCATGAATTGAATTTAGGGCATTACGTCCTTCGTCATTTTCTTGCTTCTTTTTAACAACTTTATTTTCATTTTGTTTAGAGGTATTTTGAGGCTTTTGAATCTGTGTAAATTTTTTCGGTCGTTCTGTTGAAGTTATCAAGGTATTTTGTAAACGTTCGTATGTCTTCTTTTTGTTTTCTTTATTCATTGCCTACTCGAGCGTTACATATGCATGAAAGGCGAGATTCTTTAAGCAGTTTAACAAATTTTAAAACATAAACATAATTATTTATCAACGCGCATGACGTCACGCTTAGTTTGTATCATAAATCTAATTGGCTAACCCATAAGTATAGCATATAATCATTATGTAATATATGCTTTTTATGCTTTTTTTCTTTCTTTGTTTAAACTTTCGCAAAAGGGTTCACTTTATTATGTAATATCATGTGGCACGTGACAAGTGAGAAATACGCGGCCCGAACAAACTATATGTTGTCTTGAATATCCTCCCTTATGCGCTTATCCTTTTCTGTCCTTAAAGGTAGTATCGTCATTTTGAAGTCACAGAATCACGTACTTGTGCATCATGACCCAATCAAGAAAAATTGATAGATAATCCTTTCGATTTTCCTTCTGTTACAAACAAACCTTTATTTCTATGTCTGAAAGTAACTTAAATTCTTTCGTTCCCGTTACAGCGGTCGCTAAAAAAATTGCGAACTCGAAGTTGGTTCAAGAGACGCGAAATCTTTTCTTCTACCAGCTTCAACACCAAAAAGATAAAGATTCTTTTGCTGACTATGTCATAATAGTCCGCACAAAAGCATTAAACAAATTATCCGGTCTTGAGAAGGAGGCGCATAAAACGAAACTTGAAGAAACCTGCAGAAAAGTATTGACAAGGCTAAACCTTGCCGGGCTCAAATTTGAAGTGCGACGTGGAGCTGAAGACCTAATTTTTATATTTGTTTTGTGTCCTTTAAAAAGACTAAAAGAAGAAGTTGACAGATCTAGGTGACCAAGTTTTTAAACAATTTTCAATCGCAGGAATGTTAATACTTATATTCAATATAATCATTGCATATATGTTAACTTATAGGGTCAATGATTGGCTTGTTGGAGTCCGTATCCGAGACATCGACGATGATTCCTCAGGAAGTGATCCAACCTTAACAGATGCAGAGCGGCTACGCCTTGTACACGACATTATTACCAACCCTCGTCAAGAAAATGGTGCGGGAATTAATCCCGGCTTGGAAGACTTTGAACTTGTGGAATGTTTCCTTCCACTCCATGACCGTAATTATAACGAGGTTAATTGGTGGATTAATCATTGTGGTATTTTGTTCATCTCATCTTGAAAAATAAAAAAAAGACTTATTTTTCTTCAGGATTGGATAAAAACTTGGTCGACCAAATGGATAATCGATAAAAATGATCTTCTCCTTTTGAGAAATCACTTTGGAGAAAAAGTAAGTAATTCCGCAGGAGTAAATTTGGTTGATCATTATTATTAATTCGTTATTTTTCCCAGATTGCATATTACTTCGCGTTTCTTCAATACTACTGTGAATGGTTGATAATCCCATCGATTGCTGGATTACTTACATACTTTTTTTCGGAAAACTACTCGATCACATTCGGATTATTTATTGTACTGTGGTCGATTATTTTTACAGAATTTTGGCGTCGTAAAGAATACGAACTAGCGGTATGGTGGGGTGTTCGTAATTTTTCACGAGTTGAAAAGCGCCGAGCTGGTTTTAGAGAAGAATCCAAGATTATCAGTCACATAACTGGTGAATTGGTTCCTTATTTTTCTCCATGGAAACGATGGCTAAGGAGAGCTTTTGCTGCGCCCATAATAATCATATTCAGCTTAACCTTGTCGTTGGCTCTATTGTTCTACATTTTGTTTGAAGTCATCATGTCCGAATATTACACTGGTCCTTTCAGGAACCAACTGGTAGGTGTGCGCTTTTGTCTTTTTTTTGGGGGGGGAGGCAACCTCAGTGACATTATTTTTTTATTCATTACAGATCTATCTTCCAACTATTACATATTGTGCTCTGGTACCAGCATTAAACGTGATCTACATTCAAATCGCGAAAAAGCTAAATGAATATGAAAATTACGAAACCGAATCATCCTACGAATTCAACCTCACGCAAAAAATTTTTGTTGCAAACTTTTTAATCGGTTACCTTTCAATCTTCTTTATCGGTTGGGTATACATCCCGTTCAATGAAGAAATTGGTTATTTCTTCCAAAGCTTTTTTGATTTATTTGGGCTGTCATTCACCATAAAAAACGTTGGTTCGGAGAGACTTGTTACTGAATTAAAATACTTCATATTGACAGCTCAAATAATGAGTCTTTTCATGGAATTGATATTGCCTTATTTATTAAGATTTGGCACATTTGGTGTGAAAAAGATTCAAAAAAATGAGACGAAAGATGGAAGTAAAAACGAAGATGAATCCGCTTTCTTGAAAAGAGTGAGAAGAGAAGTGAAGTTACCGGTTTATGATGTGTATGAAGATTACGTCGAGATGATCTCTCAGGTACCAATTTATCGTTTCCTGATTCCCTTATGTTATAACGTTGCCCTTATTGATTCTATGAACTATCTCTAGTATGGATATGTCAGTCTATTTTCGGTGATATGGCCGCTAACACCAGTATTTGCGCTCATAAATAATTGGATTGAGTTGCGTTCTGACGCCATTAAATTGTGTGAACATACAAGGAGACCGATTCCTTCCAGAGCGGATAGTATAGGACCGTGGCTTGATAATTTAGTGTGTAAAAACATTTGCAAGATGCTAAATCGTTGCTTGAACAATGAATTTACTATTAACTATTTTCCTTGTTTAATGTGTTATGCAGTCACTTCTTACATGGCTTTCATCAATTACAAACCCATCAATTATCTACCTATATCATCCGGATACTAAGGGGTTTACTTCTTCTTCTGGAGTTATATTTACAATTGTTTTGGTATGGTTCTCTGAGCACATTTTCGGTGTGGTTCGCTATATTGTACAACAGATGCTTGCGGCTTTCCCGACGGCAACAGATGCCTTAGTGCAAAAAGAAGAGTACGAACTAAAGAAACGTTGGCTTGAAAAAGCGGGAGTGTCGACAGTGTCGCCATCAGATAGCGATCTACAAGAAAAGAAAGAAGACAGTAAATGGTTTCAGAATGATGATCGCATAGAAGATCTTGAGGATGTATTAAGGGAAATTTTACGCGAATTGAAAGAAGAATGATTGATGAAAAATCGAATTATAACTTTCGGTTTGTGATGCTTGCTCATTTTTTAATTTTATAACAGAGTGTTCCATTTAAATCGCAAAATTTAATCTTCTGTTCTTCGAATAATTAACTAGTCATTATTTCTCACGCAAGGTCTCCAAAAATGGCGAACTCCTCCTATTTACTTGTTTCATAAGTTACGATTTATATCTTATTAAGGATAACTGTTGATATTTATACCGATTCATAACTCTTTAAAATTGTTTTTACCAGATTTTGTAATATTCATTAACATCAATATTCTATAAATGGTTGAACTAACTGACTTTAAGAAAATGTTAATTGTCTAATGGAATGCGGTTAGATGATGTGATAGCATAAATTTAGTTTGGCAATTCTGTTTACATTAGTGGATTAATGTAGCCATTCCTTTAATCCCTTATAGCATATTAGAACGCACATGCATTCCTTTTCTAACCATAAATTCAATATATTAAGTATTGGGTTTATTTACGTCGTGATCTTTTTCGGTAGCCATCAACCTGAACTTTATTACAAATTCTATTTTAACATCCAATTTATGATGTATTTATGTTTCTAAATAAAATTCCCGGTTCTCCAGGAACTGCCACTTCGGCAACCCTTTTCTCCTCCTCACTTATGGCATAAACCGTTCTTAGAATTAACACCTTTTCATATCCAAGGCTTCTTTTTAAGAAGCTTGATACTGTATGAAGGGTGCTATATTCATTAAATAATAAAGACCTATCAAACGACACTGCACCGAATTCATTGACCTTTTTCTTAAACTCTTGTACGAATGGCATGGTTTTTTTGTTTTTTAGAATCTCTCGTTCTGATAAGATTTGTCGAATTTTAACATCATCAAATGTCTTGGATTGCTGAATTTCAAAATTGTTTGGATTAGAGAAAGACAAAACCTTAGGCAAGATTGAATCAAATGTCTAATGTCAAACCTCGTCATAACATTGTTTCATTGCCTCTACCGCAATATCTTGCCACTCAGGAAATCGGGTGGCAACATATATTTTAAGTTCTTTGGGCTTCTCGGGATTGAAATCTTCGGATTTTCCTTTCTTCTTTTTCTTTTGAGATGAGATTTCCAAATCGCGAATTGTTTTGACAATTTTTCGAACATACACGGTTGCTTCGATTAATTCTTTATCGACCTGGCCCGACGGTTCTGGAAATTTGGCATCTATAATGAGACCATCCTGATTTCACAAAATAAAACTTCAGCTGATATTCTGCATATAACATCACTAGTTTAAAAAATAATCAAGAAAACCACGCATCGTACATTTGACATAACCTCGCGCCAAATATATTCTGACCAATGTGGTGCGATTGGTGACAACAATAATGCTTGCACATTAATCCATCTAAATAACAAGTCTTTGTGCATTCCTTCCTGCAGCGTCACCTCACGATACCAGTCGCGAGCCGATTGTAATTCGTAGAATCCGTATTTAAGTGCATCCCGATAAAGGGATCTTCAATAGAAAAGCAAATTCAACCATCACCAATTTAATCTACAAATTTAAAACATTTACATAAATTATAATTGTTCACTCACTCATCATATGCCTTTGTCGTCTGTTGAATTAATTTATTAATTTCGTTCTCGAAAACGCGATCATGAAAATTATCTTTAGATCCCACTCGAAGGCTAGATGAGTTTTTAACTTGTTCCTAAGGTCAATATATATATTTCTTTAGATAATCTTATTCGAATATCTCAAAGGTGGTTACTATGCATACCTCGATCCACTCTTTTAAAGTAAACAATCTTAAAATTGCTGCATTTGCGGTAGCCTCTTCAAAATTAGCATCTTCGATTGCATCTCCTGCGTCGGCTAATGTAATTCTTGTAGCGTCTGCACCATATTTTTGTACAGCATCAGAGCCCGTCATAAAATTCCCCGTACTCTTACTCATCTTCTCCCTGTTTAATTGCAAATGACCATTCGATCTTACGGCAAGGGGCCAGTGATTTTCAGGAAAGAGAGCGACGTGGTTATAAATAAAGAACGTTAAATGATTTGGAATTAAATCCTTCCCAGAAACTCGAAGATCCAAAGGATAAAAATAATTAAATTCTCGTTTCATTTTTTCAAGTTTTTCTTTTGGAACAGAGCAGTTCTCCGGGTAAGCACCATCGCTGAATATAAACTCCCAAACTTGGTCAGTCATTTCTGAGGCTTGAATGCCAAGTGGCCCTGGCTTTGAGCCATCTAAAATACCGCCTGTTCCCACAACAAAAAAAAAAAAATCAGAAACAAGTAAACTTCTTTTCGTCCAGATCTAATAGTTACCATGTAGTAAATGCGCAACAGTGTAGTAAGCCATGTATATTGTGGAATCCGACAAACTCTCTACCAAGTATTGAGGATCCCAAGGCAATCTTGATCCGAGACCGTAAGACCTGGCACAAGCCCATTGGTTCAACCAGGCTAGCGTCTTTTCAAATTGATGTCTCGTTTCTAATCCGAACGTATTCAACCGACTCAGACATTTCTCCGCCTGTTTCTTCCATTCGTCTTCGCCGTAATCCAGGTACCATTGGTCACAAAGTGCCACAACGCATTCGTCACCGGATCGAGACATTACTAGAGACTCAGGTTCATTATAAACAAATCCTTGTCTGGTGGAAATCAATAATTCTTTGATCAAAGGTTTTGCTTCCTGAACCGGTTTTCCTTTGTGATCACCAACAAGGATGGTTCCATTATAAAATCCTTCCTTGTACACCAATTCTTTTGCTTCTGCTAAAAGCAATCTATCTTTCTGAGAATTGATTTTCTTTTGCTGACAAACCGTCTGTGCAGCTAAATTACCATAAGTAGGAGTATCAATAATTGGTATGGGCTCGAAAGCGACCCAAGAAGGATCAACTTTATAGTAGGCTGCCTTTTTTTTGAGATCTTGAAGGGTTGCATAATCATCAGGAGAATCGGACGGAACAGAGGTCACAACTCCTGTGCCCTTTGTTGCTAAAACATTCTCCATTGGTAAAACGTAAACTTGTTCATACTTGCTCAACGGCGCGCTTACTTTAGTGCCGATCAATACTGATCCTTTAACTTCGATAATTTGATCGACAATCCCACGTTCTTTTGAATAACCTTGGAATGCCATGTTGCGAGCAGCACGACGAGTACACAAAAAGATATCATTTTCGTTGATTTTGAAAAGACCATAATTTATGTCAACTCCAACAAAGCAATTCGTTTGACCATACCTTATAGTATATAGGTGAAATAAAAAAGGTTGACTCAAATTTTTTCTGAGAAAAAAATTAAAAATAATTGATGATTTACATTGTCTCTGGCCTAAGAGTGGCGGCAACAAAGAAAACATTTTTTCCTTCTAGCTCTTTCAGTGATTCAAAAGTACTTTGAGCTTCCTTACTCCATTCCAAAACTTTAAGCTTTATTCCAGTGTACTCTTGTGGGCCCACACCTTCACCGCTTTGTCGATCGTGATCCATACAAGGTTGCCCATCCAACGGTGAATATATAGTATAACGCTCACCAAACTTCACCTTGTTGAGGACTTTTAACTTATTCATTTGCCACCGAACAAAAGAATCATAATAAGGATTAACGTCGGTTGTTATAAAGGACCTACGCCAATCTATCTTAGCTCCGATAGCCTTGCAATCTTTCTAGGAAAAAATGCAAATCAAATATCTGCATTAGTTCTATAAAAAAATGGTAAAAATGGTAATATTAATAATAATTCAAATTTATACTGACGATAGCTAATGGTGGGAAGTAGTAGAGCCAATAGTTTGCATCAGCAAATTTAGCAATTTCATTATCGGGAACACCCGAACTTCGCATTATTTGGAATTGAAATTTTTGACCCGTTGATTTTGCAGCTACCTTGCCCTTTTTTTGGAATGCTTTAGTAGCCACCCCGGATGAATCAACAGATCCCAATTTAGTATTGGTACCCTCATTCAGGCTCAGATCTTTAATTTCGTCTTCTAACTCGCTATTACTTGGAAGTTCGAAGTTCGGACCAAACTGCTCCAGTTCACGTGTGAGCTTATCTGCACAAGCCTATCAACAGAAAAAATTTCAGAAACTCGACTGAAAATTTATCATTAAAGTATTTTGAATTTGATCAACTGGATTGCTAGATCAACCATGTAGTACCTTGATTGGCATGCCTGTACAATGAAATCCCATAGGGAATAAAGCTCTCTTTCCTTTCATTCTTTCGTAACCCGTTGCAAATTCAGCTTTTGTAATTGTGAAAAAATGCCCTAAATGTAGCCTTCCATTCATGTATGGATACGGAAATGTACTCATATGTTTCGGGTATTTTTCGTGTATAATAGAATCATTTGGTTCTTCTTCGATTGTTGGCGCGTTGATTTCGAATGCTCTTTCATTTTCCCATAATTCCTGAATTCTGCGCTCTATAGACTGTAAGGCATCGCGCTTGGCAGTCTATTGGCAATAATCCATCAACTGATATTAAATCCACCTGCGTATTATACATTATGTTATACAAGAAATACCTTCTTTGGCTCTTCTTTTGTAGTATCCATTCTTCGAAAAAAGTTTTTAAAAAAATATATCCAATCACAATTTTAATCAAAAAGATTACATTCCGTTACGTAATAAACGAGATTTTTTTATTAAGCTGTTACAAAAATCTATATACTAAAATAAGTAATTTTTTTTTATGACTGGTGTGCGCCTTGTTTATTCAATATCTTATATCTTGTTATTTTCTAAGAATTTTCCTAATTACCAGTCGACTTGATACCATCCATTCCTCCTATATTGATTAAAGCAAAGCCTTAATAGTATAGAAATAGTTAATATGCACTTTCAAGTTTATTTTATAACTATTTTTCAATTGACTGAATTATTAGAAAATATTTTGTTAAATTTAACTCTATTTCAACAAGATGTTTGAAGCATAAGTTGCTTGTTAAGATACTTTATCAGAAAATTTTTGAGCTGAAATCCCTGAAGGTCTTTATTATTAAAGATCTTCAAAGGATTGACTTTCTAGAAATCTAACAATGGTGAAGAACTTTAGAAATTTTTTTATTTATTTTAAAACAATTTTATATTCTTTTTTTATTTATAAAAGAATATAAAAATATTTGTAGTTTAAATAACAATAGATTTTTTTAAAAAATTTTTTTTTATTTTTAACAAGTATTAAATATATAATATATTAATGATCTTTATAAAATAAATTAAAGATAACATATATAAATCTTTAAAAACTCAAGTAAAAAAAAATAATAAACAATTATTAATTACTAATTATATTATTAATTATGTGTATATGTTTTATGAATATTGATAATAAAAAAATAATATAATATTTGGATTTGAGTTATTATTATTATTATTTTTTTTAGTAAATAAATATTATTTCTTTATTTGATTTGTATATAACAAAATATATATTGTAAAAAAACAATATCTTTTATATATAAATATAATGAGTTAAATACTAGCTTGTTATAATAATTACATAACTAATATTGAAAAAAAAATTTAAAACAATATATCTTGTCAGACAGCACTGAACAGCTATAAATATCTACTCAATATTAAGAAAATTATAATTATAATTAAGGAATAAAGATATTAAACTATAAATATATTTAAAATAATTATATTCAGATTAAATAAATATATTGATAATAATAAAAAACAAATTGATAATAATATCTTCTAATGAATTAGTATTAGATACATCTTTAACTTGCAAGATATTCTTATTTTTTGGTTTAAAAGAATTGGATAAATTGAAGAATTTGATATAATCCTACTTAATTCTAGTGAATGGTGAAGTGTTAGCTATAGAACAATGTGATTTTTAAATCAGATTATATAGTAGAGTTAAAGATTTTGTTGTCACTTTAATCCAGTTAATAGAAGTTAAAGTAGAAAATATTTTATCTGTTATTTTATATAACAGTTCAATAACTTACTATATATATAAAATAGGTTTATGATTATTATTTGAATAAAAGATTTGATTAATGGTTTTGATGATTTGATTAGCTACTTGTGAAGCCTTAGTGCATTTGAAAATATATTAAATATCTTTAATATAGAATATTTAGATTTGAATTATAATTTAAATTTATATAATTATATATATAATAATTTTAATCTACAATTATATTATAGAATTAAGAATTCTAAGAATTTAATTTAATTCAATTTTCAATTCTCAAATTAATATTAAATTTAATATATAAATTATAATTCATTATTATTTTTAATAGTGTCTTAAACTTCATGCAAGTCTATATAAGTCTATTTGATTTTAATTTTTAAGATTATATATAAAATCCATATTGTATTTAGTAACTTAAATATTTTAAAAGATATTTGATTCACCTTTAATAACCTACAAATTTAAATATATTTTTAGACAATTGTTAAATATATACAGTTTGTCTAAAAAGTCTTTGAACAAATTTTCAATTTATATTTTTATTTATAATTCAATAAATAATTTAT